GTGTGAGAAAGAGAGGAGAGCGATAGTACGTGTGAGAAAGAGAGGAGAGCGATAGTACGTGTGAGAGAGAGAGGAGAGCGATAGTACGTGTGAGAGAGAGAGGAGAGCGATAGTACGTGTGAGTGAGAGAGGAGAGCGATAGTACGTGTGAGTGAGAGAGGAGAGCGATAGTACGTGTGAGAGAGAGAGGAGAGCGATAGTACGTGTGAGAGATAGAGGAGAGCGATAGTACGTGTGAGAGAGAGAGGAGAGCGATAGTACGTGTGACGACCGTATTTATCGAATTTGCTTTTGATTTGAACTGTTCGTTTGTGGTTTCCGTTGCGCCAGCGCGACGCAGGCTTTGACGCAACCGTCAACGCAACCACTGACGCAGCCTTCAACGCAGCCACTGACGCAGCTATCGACGCAGCCACTGACGCAGCCCTTGACGCAGGCACCNAAGAGAGGGGAGCGATAGTACGTGTGTGAGAGAGAGAGAGGAGAGCGATAGTACGTGTGAGAAAGAGAGGAGAGCGTACGTGTGAGAAAGAGAGGAGAGCGATAGTACGTGTGAGAAAGAAAAGAGAGCGACAGTACGTGTGAGAGAGAGAGAGCGATAGTACGTGTGAGAAAGAGAGGAGAGCGATAGTACGTGTGAGAGAGAGAGGAGAGCGATAGTACGTGTGAGAGAGAGAGAGAGAGGAGAGCGATAGTACGTGTGAGAGAGAGAGNGCGTGCGTGCGTTCGTGCGTGCGTGCGTGCGTGCGTGCGTGCGTGCATGTGTGCGTGCATGCGTGCGTGCGTTCGTGCGTGCGTGCGTGCGTGCATGTGTGCATGCGGTGTATGCGTGCGTGCGTGCGAGCGAGCGTGGGAGCGTGCGTGCATGCGTGCGAGTCAGCGCGCGCAGCAGTGTGGGTGCGTGCGTGCGTGCATGCGTGCGTGTTCGCTTATGGTGCGTGCATGCACTCTTTCTCACACTTTCGCTCGCGCGCTCTCTCCCGCTCTCTCTTTCTCTCCCTCTCTCTCTCTCAATTTGCTCTCTCTCTCTCTCTTTCTCTCTCTCAATTTGCTCTCTCTTTCCCTCTTTCTCTCTCTCTCTCTTTCTCTCTCGCTGTTCTCTCTCTCTTTCTCTCTCACTTTTCTCTCTCTCTCACTCGGCATGTACCTAGCGCTTCTCAGCACGTCTATCTGCGTCGTTAGTCGTTGGTAGAGCCACGGAGCGGGGTTCCTTGCACCTACAGCTAGTCTTTCTTCCAGCGTGCGCACCTCTCTTCTGTCCGCTACTGACATGGATAACGATACCGTCACAGCTATGCTGCACACTACGCCGCTGTTTACACACACACGCGCACACACACGCACGCACGCACGCGCACACACACCACGTGTTCACCCTCCCTCAGGAACGATCGATCTATTATTGGCTTCCATTTACGTCCGCGTCCGCGCGCGAGCAGTGTGGGTGCGTGCATGCGTGCGTGCGTGCGAGCGAGCGTGGGAGCGAGCGTGGGAGCGTGCGTGCGTGCGTGCATGCGTGCATGCGTGCGAGTGAGCGCGCGCACCAGTGAGGAGAGCGATAGTACGTGTGAGAAAGAGAGGAGAGCGATAGTACGTGTGAGAAAGAGAGGAGAGCGATAGTACGTGTGAGAAAGAGAGGAGAGCGATAGACGCTGCCACTGGCGCAGCTACTGACGCAGCCACTGACGCAGCTCTTGACGGACCCACGAACGTAGTCACCGACGCAGCCACTGACGCAACCACTAACGCAGCCACTGACGCAGCTACTGACGCAGCTACTGACGCAGCCACTCAAGCAGCTATTGACGGACCCACGGACGTAGTCACCGACGCAGCTAGTGATGTAGTGATTTCTGCAGCTACCTAATCAATCACCACGTCATTCATTGACGCAATCACCGACGCAGACGCAGAAACATTAACTAACGTGTTCACTGACACAATCAGTGACGCAGACGCGATCGGTGACGCAGTGAGTCACTGACGTAGATGGGTAGCATTCCAGGTGGGCGATATTGCCGCCTCATCGTGCAGCTATTTGCCTCGTGTGTGTGTGTATATATATATATATATATTATAATTGCCGCTGTTCGGTGGGCAGCGTCAGTATTGACAGTGGCCGTGTCGCCGTCACTCGGTGACTACACGAGTGGCACATTTATCTCCGCCTGCTAACGGATACGTCGGCTTCTCTCTCTGTGTGTCTCTTTCTCTGCCTTCCTTTCTCTCTCTTTCTGTCTCTCTCTGTCTCTCTCTGCCTTCCTTTCTCTCTCTCTCTCTTTCTCTGTCTCTGCCTGATTCTCCCTCTCTCGCTCTCTCCCTCTGATATCTGCTACTCTACTGCTGCTACCACTACTACAGGAGCAGCGATCTACTAGTGCTGCTGCTACCACTACTACAGGAGCAGCGATCTACTAGTACTGCTGCTACCACTACTACAGGAGCAGTGATCTACTAGTGCTGCTGCTA